TTACATATAACCGTGATGCATACACTAAGCAACTACAGTAATGATGTCAATCTCATATAAAGGAAACCCTAGGCTAGCAGGTATCAAGTAATCAGGCAATACTATCATGCAATTCCGGAAGATCCCTAGCCTAGCACTAACATGCTGTTCTTACATATCACATAATCAAATACTGTATGGTATTTTAGGGTCTACTTACTGGCTCCGGCTGATCATACACCCTGCATCCTCCTTTACTTATTTTTAAAACAATTTAAAACCATTTTGAAAATCTTTCCTTGATTTGAGACCGGATTCACAAGAATGTTCCTCCAATTCACTCAAACCAAGGCTCTGATACGAACTTGTAACATCCCAAAAATTTAAGCCAATTTAAACTTTTTTAAACAATTCAAAACCCATTAGTTATTACAATATGTTTTCAAAATAGTTTCATATCAGAGTATTCCCATAATCAAATCGTAAATTCATGAAATATGAGGAGTTGTACGACCATGCCTTTGCCTTCCTGCGATCATTTGATGTACCTGAAACAATAAACTGAAACTGTATGCCCAATGCTTAGTGAGTTCTCCCAAAATACTGATACACATACAGTCCACATATCAATATCAACAATATCATAACATAACAACTGAACAGAACAACATGCAATGGGTCCACAACTTTACAGACTGGATTACCCTTGGGCCCACTATGTGAGTATGGATTGCCTTCCGGGCCCACAGCTCTCATCTTGATTTCCATCGAGCCCATAGTACAAGTATCCCTTAGCTTGTAACTGGAATGCTCTCGGGTTTGTTGGTTCCCGCACGGATCAGTATCACCTCAACCCATCCCACATAACATATCAACATATAACATAACCATTGAGCATGCAAATAATCATATAACAACACAGGTAGTCATATAGATCTACCTAACTGGCATAACCACCAACATGTAACACTAACTTCATACTCAACATACTAACACTGCTAGGATAACATATCCAATAGGTCGGACTTGGTGTCTTAGACCCCTTAGTATAGTGAGGTAACTCACCTGACATTGCTGAAGTCCCGCGAATGAAACTCCAGTTGCTGGTTGATAGATTCCCGAATTGCCAACATCAAACAACACCTAATTAATAATTGGGCTCCAAGCCTAAGATCCAACTCACGCTCCAAAGGCCTGAAAGTCCAACTATGGCTCAAAGCCCCAACATATGGCCTAATTTTACCAATTTGGCCCAAACCTTTACATGGTCATCATCAAGGCCCAACTACTTAGTCCAGTCCAAACATTTGGCATTTCCAATAGCCCAATATCATATAATCATCAAGGCCCAAACTATGGCCCATCCACGTCCCAATTTTCCAAATTGGGTCCAAACCCTCATATGGGCCTTACCCTAAGCCCATCAACACATTCCAGTCCATATGATTCTCTATGGCCCATTAATAATCCAATTACCAAAGCCCAAAGGAAAGGCCCAACTCAAGGCCCAAGTGAAATAGGGTTTTCAAACGAAATGACGATTAAGGTTAAGTGCTTCTTACTTAACCCATTAAGGACTTAATCCTAAAATTAGGGTTTCACATAAAATGACAATTATGGTTAAATGTTTCTCACTTAACCCATTAAGGACTTAATTTATTACGTCCATTACTCTTCTAAATAAATCATGTGGTGTGGTTGGGCTTAATACATAGTCCAATTCCAAAGGCCCAAATGTGGGTCCCAAAGTCCAAATCCTATAAATCCAATATTAGGGTTTTCTAAACCCTAATTAGTGTTTCCAACCCCATCTTAGCCCCATAGGCCCAATATCTAGGTCCTTTGATCAATTAGGGTTCATTAGGCCCATTAGGGTTTCACTAAGCCCATTAGTCACATGCTTGGGCTTTTAGGTCCATTAAGCTTCATTAGGCCCATTAGGGCTTATAAGGCCTATTAGGGTTTTAGTCTTTTGTCCAAACATCCCAACGAATCACAACAAAACGAGACACACCGCCACCTGTCAGGGAGGCCGGTGGTGGCAGTCACCGCCCTACAGTGGTGGTTTGAGATTTTTGTTATTATTTCGGGCACAATTTACATTTTACAACTTCGGAACACACACACCGATATAAACACACACACACAACCACCTTGTGGTGGCCGCGCGACGGAAGATGGTGGCAGCCACCATGGCTGGCGGCCATGGTGGTCTTTCACTCCTTTTTCCAATCGACAACACTACCTACAACACATACAAACACTAGCTAGAGTGCTAGACACTAGAACACACCCATCATCAATCTGGAGGCAGCGAACGGCAATTTGCGACGGCATCGACAACACAACGGCGACAAAATGGTGGATTGTGGTGACAGCCAAAACGGTGGATTGTGGTGACGACACAACGACGGGTTTTTTCCATTCCCCGTTAAGCAACAACACCCACTAGCAAGTCCTTGCTCGGACAACGACTCGAATAACCCATATGTGGTGAGTGGCGACGGGAGTAGAGCAACAACCAGCAACAGCGACACTTGGAAAGGAATGAGGAAGGGAGGTGGTGGTGCGAAACCTACCGAGCACATCAATAGTAGCCTCACATCTAGGCTTTCCGGCGACCCACGCGATGATCTAAGCTATTTGTGACTTTTCCGGCGGCAGTAGGGTTGGTGGCATTCTGATGGCAAGATGCGGGCGGCGGATGAGGCCTCACATGGCGATGGTGGTTCACGCTTTTAGCGGCGGTCGTTCAACACTTCATCTGGTCGGAGCACAAGAGGGAAAACCGACGATGGCAGCTGGAGGATGAAGAGGAGGTGGGGTGGCGGCCGATGCATAATAGTAGGGTTAGGGTTTGAGACAATGGAGCAGTTTAGGCTATATACCCGCTTCATTGAAACATTATCCAATATTGACACATTTGGTCCCTCCTTTCATATTTCTTTCAAAACAATTCCTTAATGTACCATTTAAACCCTTGTTCCCATAATCCTTTTCAATATAAGTCCAACAGTTACAAAACAACCCATCCTCTACAAATTATTCTCAATTAAGATCCATAAATTACCATTTCTACCCTGACTTCAAGAATCCTTCTCAGATTAAGTCCGATATTTATTCTTTAACCCTTGGAAATCACAAGTATATCATTTGGCACCCCGAAATCAACACCCCACTAATTATTATTTGATTTTGGACAATAATAATATAAAATAATAGTAAAATTACTTCACGGGGGTTCCGGGTTTATTATTTTAATTATTCTATTTAAATGGGATGTTACAACTGATCAAGGGGGATCGGCCCTAGCCAATGTGTCCCAGTAGGAGTATGTTTGTTATTAATTTGTTCTTTGACATGTATGTGTGGTTATGTGGTGATACCGTTTGTATTCGTGTATATGAGTAATGATTATATGATATAATACTATGTATGTGTGAAATTCACTAAGCTTTATGCTTACCCATTTTCCATTTAAAACACTGTTTCATGTACACAGGATGGACGGGCATGGTTGTATATACTTGATCGAGGCAGGATATTAGATTTTTAATATTGAATTAAATGTGTTTTTCATAAATTTTAGAATTATAACTGATAATGGTTCTGGTAATTGAATTTAACTTGGGTTTTGGTTTTAAATTTATTTTGAATAAGATATGTTAAATGAATGGTTTATGGTATTTAAAAAGTTTAGAATTATTGCAAATTTGGGATGTTACACCTTTCCACTCCACTACCTATACATGTAGTTTGCATCCACGATATCTCCCACAAAAAAACCATTAATAAGGATCTCAGGAGGAACCAAACTCATTTTCCCTTCATTGACAATCTCCTTGACTAGACTGAAACCTCCATCTTTTAGAAGGGTTCGATAGTCGATAGTAAATAGTTTTCTGGGTCTAAAGAAGAAATGATATTTGCTAGGTAGTATGATTGTTTGAATCCTAGTTCAGTTTTCGATATTTCAACTCTATCTCTACTCTCAAAAGACATGATTCAAGGTGATTCTGGTTCATGCAAAAATATAGCTTTATAACGCCTTATAAATTATAACCATAAAACCATCTCATTGACCGTAAATATAAATCAATTTCAACTCACAAATATGGCAATGTTTTAGTTGACATATATGATAAACTAAAGAATAGACAAAGATTTTCTAACATAGAATCGATGATGGTAAGAGGGGAGTTGATAGGAGCTGACAGTGGTAACGGATGTAGAAGTTGTCAGAGATTCAAGTCGAAATCCAAGGATGCAATTTTGCCTCTCTGAGGTTCATATCAGGTATAAGGCTTTCAAGAGCAAGGTCAACTTTGACTTTTTACATCTTAGTTAGAAAAGTTTAATATAACCTAATTGAGATAGAGACTTCATTGTTACCCAAACATTCAATAAGGACCACAAGTGTAGGAATCGCAATAAAAAGACTAATTGTGTTAAAACTTGATAACTATACTTTACTCTTATTTTTATTAATGTATTATGTTTTAATTTTTTATTATAAGGTTATGTCATGGATATATCCAAATGGAATAATTGGTTTATGACAAAAAAATTTTCTTTTTAGAAGATTTTCTAACTTAACTTTCATTTACATATAATTTTTTAACCAAAAATCCACTTAATCAACGCCACGTTGCAGAACCTCAATAGGAGGATGCAAATACTTATATTTACAAACTGCTCCCCTCATTTTTCTCTTTTTACCAAAAAGACAAAAACCAAAATAAAATCATATGCAACGGCCGACCAACGTCTACAGACACTTTTCATCCTCACCTCGTCCTCTCTCTATCTCACATGTGTAAGATCTCTTTTGTGATCTGTGTAATCTATACATCAAATTTCTTGTATCTATACACGGCTATACATATATATATATTCGTTGCCCCTGACGCAAGGTTTGTTTTTCTTGTTTTGCATTTCCCCAATTTCATATCATTAGACGAAGACGATTGGAAGAAATCACCAGTTTTTCTAGGGTTTTTGATCACTTCTGAATCAATCAAATGGCCGCTCCACCGGCTAGAGCTCGAGCGGATTACGATTTCCTCATCAAACTTCTCTTAATCGGCGACAGCGGTACGCATTCCGCATTCGTTTCGTTTTTCATCTTCCATTTGAATCCGACATGTGCTGTATATTTAAATGTGCATTTCGTATGATTATATTTTTGACTATCTGGAAATGTGGGAAAGATTTGTGTAATTTTTTGGTGTTAGATCTCTTGGTTGTGCCTTTGATTCCATTTGCGATGGTTCAGGGAAAGAGGGGTAACGGTTATGCTCCATTTGGTGATTAGGATCAGATTACATCTGTTTGGAATCTGTATGCATAAACATTGTCATCTGCCTTTTAAATTGTGTTAAATTGTTCCCATAGGGTTGCAAATGCAATGAATCCAAATATATACATGGTAAAATTTTGTTATTCAGACATTTATTTGTGTTTTTTTTTTAATCATTGTTGCAGGTGTTGGTAAGAGTTGTCTCCTTTTACGATTCTCAGATGGTTCCTTCACCACTAGTTTCATTACAACCATAGGGTTCGTATATATTTAAATCCTATTACAAAAAATAGAGTTAAAATATAATGGACACTTACAAATGCATGATCTTTTTCTTATACAGTATCGATTTCAAGATAAGAACAGTTGAGCTTGATGGAAAAAGAATCAAACTGCAAATCTGGGACACTGCTGGCCAAGAGCGATTCAGGACAATCACAACTGGTAAGTCTGTTGAAGAAGAATCTTTCTGCTTAATTAAGGTAATTTTATAGTACATGTTTTTAATGTAATAAAAGTATAACTAATAAATCTAGCAGGAGTATGTTTATGCTTGCTATCAACAATTCAACATCATTGGTTTTGTATACAGTTGTTTTGGATTAAGGGAATGTATCTTTCTATATTCATGTTTTTATATCTAATCTTGGTTTTATGCAGCTTATTATCGTGGAGCCATGGGTATTCTGCTAGTATATGATGTCACTGATGAATCATCCTTTAACAGTAATTCCTTATATATCTTTCTCTTCTGAAATATATCTTGGCAATCATTTTTAACATGTTAAAATCTATATATATATATATATATATATATATATATATATATATATGTTTTTTCGTTTCTTAGATTCTTTTTTCATTAGTTTATTTTTTTATGTCTAGACATCAGGAATTGGATCCGGAACATAGAACAACATGCATCTGACAATGTAAACAAGATACTGGTTGGCAACAAGGCTGACATGGATGAAAGCAAAAGGGTCTCTATCTCTATCTATCTATCTATATATCTTTGTTTGTGTGTGTGTGTGTAAATCCTGATTCCTCATTTTCCATATTGACTGAGTGAAAACCATATTGTGCAGGCTGTTCCTACCTCAAAGGGTCAGGCACTTGCTGATGAATATGGCATCAAATTCTTTGAGGCTGTAAGGCTCTGTTTCTTTTCTTTTTCCTCATTAAGTGTATGGTATATACCGTATATATAAAGTCGTTCTTTATGATTTAAGTAAAAAAGTATTAAAATGAAATACCATTTTTTTTTTCTCCCTTTAAATGTTGTATGAGCAAAGTGCTAAACGGATGAGTAAGTGATGGATTTGTAAAGACTGTTTATTTTTTTGGACCGAGTGAACTGTCTGAATGCGAGTAAATGACCATTTTACCCTCCTCGTATATGTAAAGACTGTTTTTTTTTTTGGACCAAATGAAGTGTCTAAATGTGAGTAAATGACCACTGCCCTCCTCGTATACATGAAGGCTATTTCTTTTCTAGACTAAGTTGTGAGTAAATGACCATTTTACCCTCCTCATATATGTAAAGGCTGTTTCTGTTTTTGGACTTGAATCAACTGTCTGAATGCGAGTAAATGACCATTTTACCCTCCTCGTGTACATAAAGGCTGTTTTTCTATTGGACTGAATCAATTGTCTGAATGTGAGTAAATACCACCTTACTCTCCTGTTATAAGTGAAGACTTTCTTTTTTGGACTGAATGAACCATTGGAATGTGAGTAAATGACCATTTTACCCATTGTGTAAGTCCATTAAGTCAAAAAGAAACAACACCCTTTTACCCTTTTGTATACATACTAAATTTTGTTTCACATCAAACAGAGTGCAAAAACAAATATGAATGTGGAAGAGGTCTTCTTCTCTATAGCTAGAGACATAAAACAGAGACTCTCCGAAACTGACACGAAGGCTGAGGTAAATCCACAAAATCAAAAGGGTATTTTGGTAATTTTGGTCAGTAACTACCTATTCTCTCTTACCCGTCTTTTTTGCAGCCTCAAACCCTTAAGATTAACCAACAAGACCAGGCAGGAGGGACTTCTGAATCGGCTCAGAAATCATCATGCTGTGGCTAATAATTATCAACCCTTTGACCCTTCTTGGTATTCACATTTTCAATTTACCAAGTCGCCCTTCAAAAAGTTTTTTTTTTCTTCGCATGATCAGAAATTTGATTCATACATCATTTTATCTTTTTTTTTTTTAAAATTTTTTTTTGGCTGTTTTTAATTATTATTATTTTTTGCATTTGGGCAACTCTCACTTTCATGTATTGATGTCATTTCATACCTTGGATGATTATATCTTTAGAAAAGGGTAGAAAGGGAACAATAAAAAGATGGTCAAAACCAGTTGCAACTTTGAGAAGGGTATGAAGATATAAAGCCATCAATAATGTTGGTTTTGCATATAATAATTGAAATTATAAAGTGATGAAAGCTGAGTTTTTGGTTGATGGGTAGTTTATTTAATGCATTGTGACTCTCATTGGATGTGAGGCAACTCTTGTTATTTGTTTTTTCTTCTTTAAAAAGTAACTTTTCATTTAAAGATATATAATTATGATTGGAACTTATGGTTTCTTTGATTTATTATGAAATCCCTATGGAGGGTGATTCACGTGCACTTTTTGTTTCATTTTTTTAAAGAGCTATCTATAAACCATTTGGCTTAGTTAGAAATCTCCATCTCCATTTTACAAACATGGGTCAGTTGCTCTAAATAAGCTTCTGATCCCTAGACCCTAATTCTATTGATGCAATTTAAAAAAAAAAAAAAAAATCTAACATATTTTCGGTCAATTTTTACCCCTTCTCTAAAAGAATTTTCAACACATCAATTCCAATAATTGATGAACCATTTCCGAAGCTGTAAAGATTGATGAAAAAAAAGAGGAAACCTCAAGCTCCAAAAAAAAAAAGTCTTTATAAGATTTACATGGCCCCTAAAAGACAAAGCTTTCGCTTTTCAAGCATAAAGTTTTTAAGTGAAGCAGTCACTTATTGACTCCATCCAACCATTTTAGAAATCTTGCAAAAATATGAGAAATTTTTTTCCTTAGCAAACCAGAAATAAATGCCAAAGATAAGGCATCCTAAAAAACAACCTCTTTCATCAGATTACACTAGACAGTTAATTTTTAATCTCGAAGGAAGATGGAAACATCAAAGGATTCAAAAATATTCCAAGCATTTTCTAGAGGTCACCCTCACTACTTGAAGCTGAGAGTGTTTATAAACTCATGTGGACCAAAATTCAAGTTTGTGATAAAGGAAAGAAATTGTTTATGGATCGAGGGACGAAAGAAAATAAACTAATAAGGTAGTTTTTTAGTTCTCTTTGGGAAGGATAGATTTGGTATTTTGATTTTTAGATGATTTTTTTTAATATTAAATTGATTAGATCCAAATTAAAATATGAGTTTGGATATAGATGTTAAATTTGTAAGTGTAGGTGGATATATATTTAATTTTAAAATTTATAAGGATATTGATCTAGTATTGAAAGTTTGTTAGGATATTAATGGAATGGGGGGGGGGGGGGGGGGGGTTGGATTTGTGGAGACTTCGGACCTCGTGAAATATCAAAAGTTTGTAAGGATATTAATGAAATCTCCAAAAAGGGGGAATTTGTGTGCCTCATGAAATATCAGGTTTAGGGTTTGCATTGTGTTATGTGTTATCAACTTTCTAGGAGTTGTGTTCGTCATCAGAAGGGTAAGGCTTGGATTTTTTGTGGCTCACATGTAACAAATGTTTTACATGAATCAGAAACATTTGGCCTAACGGTAAGGAGTGACTCTTTCAAATGAGAAGTCATGAATTTAAGTCTTACTAAAAGACACATGTAGTGTTTAGGATTAGATTAATACTAGAATAGTTTGTCGTTTAAAAAAATGTTAAATATAAAAAAAGGAGAATTATTTGAGCATCAAGCCATCAACATAAGTTTTACTACTAGAATCGTTTGTCGTTTCAAAAAAAAATGTCAAATATACATTAATAACATTTTTCTTTTTTAAATTTGTATCATGTGCAAATTAGATTTGAGGATTTTATATATATATATATATGAAATTCTCCCTATATTTATTATAATAGATGTCATTTCATTTTATATACATTTAAAACTTACAAAACTTTTCAACTTTTAACTAATTAACTTTAACACCTCAAAAGCTATTTAATTAATATATTAAACCACATTAATTTAAAAAAAAATACAAACATATTTTAATAATAAAACTCTTAAACTTTCGAATAATTAACCACTACAATTTATATATATAAAAGTTGTGTAAGTTGTAGTGGTTAATTATTCGAAAGATGTAAAACATTATCTTTGTAATACTATTTATTCATCTAATATACCTACTTTATTAATTTAAATTTGTCGAACGATGTAAAACATTATCTTTGTAATAGTATTTATTCATCTAATATACTTAATTAACTAATTTAAATATGATGTGAAATAGGAACCTCAAAATATCATATTAACAAAGAAAAAAAAATATCAAAATACTATTTTTTTAGTAGTTAAAAAATATTAATATTGTGTAAATATAAAACATAAAATCAAATTAACTAAAAACTAAAAAAAAACTATTTTTTATAAGAATGAAAATCTCAAAAAAAAAAAAAAAAGTTTTTATTAGTTAAAAGTAAAATAACCTTAAAAAAATGTTGCTTCAAAAACAATGATTGATATTTGAAATAATAATCATGTCAAAATTGAAAAATCGATAAATAAGCTATTATTATAATATTAAAAATAATATTAAATCATAATAATGTTTTATTGTACTAATGTGCAAACCTGAGTAAAAACCATTGAGATAATATGATATTTAAAGATATTGATTTAAATTAACTAAACATAAGTTAAATCAATTTTTTAATGCACAATTTAGATGTAAAAGCTATTGACATGATATGATTTTAATATAAGCATGATTTTAATATAAGCTTAAATTACAGTCTATAAATTTATAATGTTTTTTATTAATCAATGTGAAAATTTATTACTTAGTTAATTTAAATATATAATTATTTTAAAAATTATATATTTATCAATATTTTATTTATATAGATGTATTCTAGGTGCTATGAAAAATTATCAGGTTGTAAAATGTGGCGGTAAATATCAATTTTAAAGATGTGTAAATGTAATGATATCGAGGATAATTGTAAAATTAACTAGCTGGGGTGCCCCGCTCCGCGGGGGTCGGTTAAGACCAGTAAAGTATGTTGCTATTGTCTGCAATTCACTCATTTACAAATACATAATAGTCAAATATGTTGTAGTATGGCTCCAGTTGTTTTGACTATTTATAGCAACAAATAATATAGTCTATGTAACAAATTATTACAATGAATTGGCTTTTGTAAATCAAAACTGACAACAGTGAAAGTACATTGTTTGTTATCCCCTGATACTAATTACAGTTTCCCTTACAATTGTTATCCAAAAGGTATGTCATAAGAACCGTTCATGTGCAAAATCTCATCTCTCCCAATAAATGTTGGGAATCCCTGAATAAAATTGTACAAACCAATAAAAAAGAATGTAGAAGATATTCAATTACAGGAAAAACCATATCCAAACAGAAAGTCAGGAATTAAGATTACACTCACCAGTACTTTAAATATGGTTGCTATTCCTAAAGGCAGTATGTAGGGATCAATTTGCAACTGTGGGAGAATAACCAATAGGTAAAGGCTAAATTTATAAATTGATGTTCTTAATCATATCTATCAGTTTTACCCATCATAGTTCAAACTAAATAATAACATCATAAGATGCAAGAAAGAAGAAAACACGTGACTTATTGTTATTTTCCTGGTTATTACCTTTACGGAAGTATTCACTCACCTTTTTGACAGCATCCTTTCTATTATACACTTGGGCATTTTCACAAACAATTGGCATGCATTGTCTATGTATTAGAAACAAATAATAAAATGGATAGAAAGAAACCTCGCAACAAACATCAATCTGTGGACGTTTACCCAAATCAATTTTTGTAAGCTTATCAGATATGAAATTGTGTTATACAGTTCCAGCAACACATAACCACGAACAGTGTCAAGATTGTAACCTTCGCGCCGACCTCCAAGGGGAATAATGAGTTTTCTAAAAAAGATTAACAGGTAAGAAGACTCAAAACATTTAAAATCATCAACATGTAATAATAAAACCGGAGGAGAGAAAGTTAGTACCTAAAAATACAGATAAATAGAAGATGATGAGAAGTAGAATAGGTGGAGGAATATTTGGTAAAAAATTAACCCTACAGTTTTATAAGTGTAGCTGAGATTTACCTGGCGATAGCTGCGGATCGATAGATCCATGCATCTAGCTTCTTCTGCAATTGCAGGTATGCAATCTGGTTTTGTGAATTATAGCCAAATCTAATGTTGAGTTTAGATTAGAAGTGAAACCATGTGGGTGGCTATGTCAAATATGGTGAGAAAATGAATCAAGAAAAAGACACAAAAAACAATCATTTTTAAAAATCCAAATAAAAGAATTGTTAACGTGCACTCAACCTGAACAGTGAAAACCATTCGGCTGATTCTTGTAGGGTGAAATCAAATATAAAAATGACAGTTAGAAGGAGGAAGAAACACTAAAGGATTAATATTTGTTTTTAACAAAAAGGCATGTCTAAACAACACAAATTATGCCTCAATATATATATATATATATATATATATATATATATATATATATATATATATATATATATACACACACACACACACTAAAGGCAGAAATATGGAGAGAGATACAACCTTGAATAACTAAACAACATAAAAATATTAGTGTTTCTGTATATATTTTGAGCTGCAACTTCTGTTGTTTATACATGCCTTTTAGTTAAAAACAAATATTAATCCTTTTTTTTTGCCACTGATAACACATTTTTTTTAAATGCAACACTATCATATACTAAACAACCAAAAAGAAAAAAAAAAAGATACCTATAAGGGACAACATAAGGAGTACCTGATACCACCTCCAACATGAACGACCATCCTTTTCGCAATTCTTGCGTTTGACCTAAATACAAATCTGAATGACATTAAATTTGTGGCTCACACACATACACACAACCAATAAAATCAATGGAATATGTTAACAGGAATTATATCTTTTGGTCCCTGTGGTGTATCGTCTTTTTTCTTCTTGGTTCCTATTTCAATGTGATCGTATAGTTAATGAAGATTCGTTTTTTAAATATATCCAAGAAAATCTATATAGCACACTACAGGGACCAAAACTGTAAATTAGGATATTAATACTTGAATGGCACGGTTCCATTTTTCCGACATTTTAGGAAATTAAGAGCTTTGGCTGCTGCTATGAGTGGGAATTTTGACTCCCAAGCCGTCCATTAATCAAGTGCTCCATAAACAACTTCTTTCTCATTTGGCAACCCACAAACCTGTAAATTCACAAATCAAGTAACTTTAAAACTGAATTTACTATAATCCCAAAAATAAAATTACACTATCCTCTTAAATATCAGAAAATGGCCTAATAGCATTTTTGGTCCCTGTAGTTTTTAATTTCAATAATTACATTTTTGGTCCATACAATGTATAATTTGCACTTTAACTGTAGTTTTTAGTTTGGGGTAAATACAGTGAATCAACCTGATTAAGAAAAAAAATGAAAGTTTTAGACCAATGTTAAATTTAA